CACACCAAATAATGATAACCTTTTCTGGGGTTTTGATTGAGATTTCACTCTACTTATAGATAAATTTGGGGATTTGGCATTTCTACAATATTGTTTCTAAGGATCACCATGATCTTTAATCTTTTTAAATGCAATCTTCTGAAGATTTTAGTGAAGGTTTTGTTTATCTTTCATTAGACTTACTCTTAAGAGGATATGGAATGAGGGAGATCATTGCTGATATCAAATGTACCTTGGCTGAAAGCAGAAAATACCAGAGAGATGTTCATCTATGTTGACATGTAAAGGCATTGAATTATGTGGATCATAAACTATGGATAACATTATGAAAAATGGGAATTCCAGAACACTTTAATTGTACTTATGCAAAACTTCTCTAGACCAAGATAGTTGTTCAGACAGAACAAGGAAATGCCGTGTCGTTTAAATTCAGGAAAGGTGTTTGAGGTTTTTGTCCTTTCACTGTACTTATTCAATCTGTATGCTGAGTAGATGCTTCCTGAAGAAGCCCATGGTATCAGGATGGGAGGAGGCTCACCAACAACCTGTAGTATGCAGACTATAAAACTCACTTGCTGATAATGAAGAGGACTTGAAACTCCTACTGATAAAGATCAAATACCATAGCCTACTTAATTATTCACATTTAGATTGATTGTTGATATAATTGGATTAACATGTACCCTAGTTGTACCTGTCTTCTGTTCATTACTTCTGCTTGTTGTTCCTATTTTTTCTTTTTTTGTCATCCATTCTTTTTAACCTTCTCTGGTTTTAATGGGGCTTTTTTTCTATCTTCCCATAGCACAGCAATTACACTTTAAAAATATTTTGTTAGGTGTCTTGCTGATTTTGTCATATAAATTTACAACAATGTCTACTTCCAAATAACAATAGACCACTTTATGGATAATGCAGGGTATTTTATAACAGAGTATAAGTTCTTTGGAGAAATGTCTATGCAAATTCTCTGCTCATTTTTAAATAAAGTTTTCTTTTTATTGTTGAATTGTAAAATTTTTTGTATGTTTTGAATACTATACATACAGACACAGAGTCAGAGTACCAAAGAGAAGTGGCTGACCTTCAACCATAACAGAGGTAGCATGGCCAAGAACTGGTACTGAAGGAAGAAGTCCAAGCTGCAAAAACAAAGCTATGGGAATTGACAGAATAACAGTTAAGATATTTTGACACACATAAGCCATGCTAGAAAGGCTTGCTTATTTCTTCCAAGACATTTAGAAGACAGCTACCTGGCCAACCTACTGGAAGACATCTGTGTTAGGTGGGGTTCTCTAGAGAAGCAAAACAATGACCTATCTATATAAAACTCAAACTCACTGCTATCAGGTTGATGCCGACTCACTGCAAGCCTAAGGGGCAGGGTAGAACTGCCTGTGTGGGTTTCAAAGACTGTGGCTCTTTTTTCTTCTTCTTTCAGACTGTCACTCTTGTTGGGAGGAAAAGCCCTCAACTTTCTCCCTCAGAGTGACTGACTGGTGTTTTGGAACTGCATAACCCACTACACTACTAGGGCTCTCTCTCTATAAATTCTTATCAAGAAAGGGACTCACACAGGGTAACTTATTACAGAGTTATATGTGGCTTGGCATCTCTTTTTTCCAATCTCTGCTTCGCTTATGTTTAATTCCTTTTATGTCTCAAGAAATTGAATCAAGATATACCACACATGAATCCTTCATTAACATAGCAAATACAACCAATTCCCAAATCGGATTATAACCACAAATATAGAGGTTAGGATTTGCAATACATTTTGGGGGGGCATTCCATCGATAACATTTGCTCTCTTGCCCACTCAAATTCTTTCATGTCCTTGCCATATGCAAAGTACATTCATTCACCTCATTACATCATTGCAAAAGTCTTAAATCAAATCCAAGTCCCAAACCTCATCTTCTGAAGCCTCTCGATAAAATATGGGTGAGATTTTTGGCATATACCATCTAGGTGCAAGATTCTTCTTCAACTATGAACTATGAAATACAGAACACAAGTGTCTGTTTCCAAGGTACAGCGATCGAGCACGCAAAGAGGTAGACCTTACCAGACAAAAGGGAGAAACTGAAGGAAAGAAGGATGGGGGCAGAGGGGAAGTAACAGACACTAAGCAAGTCCAAAGCCCAGAACAAATTACAATCAAAGCTTTAAAACAGCTCTGTTCTCTGAGACCATCTGGGTAATGGCCCTGCCCTCCAGACTCTGGCATCAGTGATGTTCTCTGGATTCTGGTGGAGACGCCTCAGCCCTGGAGGTTGGCTCTGCCTTCGGTCCTTATTGCATGGCCATTGGGCTCCCTTGGCTTTGAGCAGCTCCATTCTAGTCTTACCTGAGTAGCAACTCCAGTACCTCAGCATTGGCAGGCCCTTTCTTCCTGCCACCTGGGCATGACAATCTCGCCCCTTCCCTCACTTTTGGATAAGAGCCCCAAAACCCCAACACCAGGCCTGTGGGAAACAGAAGGATTTCTCCCAAGTTGTCTCCCCAAATATATGCCAAACTTAGCTGCTTGCGAATGACTATACACTTGGAGGTCATCAGGAGTAGATCGGGGTCATTCTCGTAAGAGCTATCAGCCATCTAGACCAAGCAGACACCACACTGTTTATCCCATAACAAGTAGGGCCCACTCCCTTCTGATAAGGATAGTAGTTGTCTGTTTCCTTGGAGGAGACACCAGAGAGGTCAAACCCACCCAAGGATGACCAAGGTTAGGCTGCCATCATGAATCTAGGGTCTGCCCGTCTTGTCACATGTATACCCCTAGGCCTTCCCATTCCTATGAGCATACCTCTAGCTCATCCCCTTCCTGTTATACTTATGCCTATCATAGATCCCTTTCCCACGATGTGTATGCCTATTGTACTGCCCCTTCCTGTGACATGTGGGTAACCATGCCCTCCTAATGAGATAACCCTTGGTTAGCAATAAAGTGGGGGCTCCCCTGTTCTTGCTCCCGAGGCTCTCTCCTGCTCTTGTGGCTGGGCTCCCCCCACGAAGACCACCAAGCGGGGCTGAGGTGAGCATGCTACCATGGATTGTGTCTGACTCCATTATTCCAATCTCTCCTCTACCTCTCATGCTCTCTATGACTTTACTATAATCTTTCCTTATTATCGTTGTACAATTGTGCCTACCAGACCTGTGATGATTTGTTGGGGACCCTCCTCGCCCCACACATGCCCTTAATGCCAGCCCCATATGTCAATGTTCCACCCTTTGAGATCCTTGAGACGGTCGCTCCACCCTTTGACAATGAGGTGATGCTGCTTTCTGTGTTCCTTCTAACTGTTCTATGTGTGTGCTTCTCCAGGAAGGATCTTTTTTGGAGGACAACAGATGGAGACCTATTTTCTGCTTGGAGGATTTCAAGAGTTAAACAGCATCTTGATTTTATTCCTCCCCAGGCCCCATCGGTCTAAGCTGATGAGTTAAAGAGGCATAACCTCTTTAACAAGATTGTATAACCATGCACTTGCTGAAAATTCTAGGACACGTGCCATTAGGTTGAACCATCTTCCAAATGTTTGTATTACTGTAATTTTGCACTGTCCATTTTTCAGTGTTTTTGCTTCCAAATTCTAATACAAATGGTGAAGAGAGACTGTGTGATCCCTTTAACATTTTGCTCAACCTCTTCAGCAGATATTCAAGTTCACCACTTACAAGTTCTAACCAAATATTTGGACACAATTATTTGCCACTGCACAAAAAGCATTCCCTTCTTCCGATGTGCAATCACACATTCATCATTTACTTTTCAAACCTCACCAGAAGTATACTTAATGTCCACATTTCTAGCAGCATTCTGTTCCTGGTGCCATATGTATTCTCCAAGATGATACATTCTCAATAGCCCTCTGCACATCTTTCTGAACCCTCCCTAGAAATGTCTCCAATTTCCTTAATTCTTCAGCCTCTCTAAAGCAATCTAGGTTTTTCCTATTTAAAAAAATAAAAACAAATAAAAGCACTGCCATTGGGTCAATTCTGACTCATAGCAACCCTACTTAGGGTTCCCCGGGAAAATCCTAGGGATTTTGGAGCAGATTACTTCCTCTTTCTCCCAAAGACTGGCTGGTAGTCTTGAACTGCCAACCTCACGGTTAGCCCTGACAAAGCCACTCTTCTCACCCATTTGTTATCCAATTCCAAAAACATATCCACATGTTAGAACAGCATCCTCCTCTTCTCGAACCAAATTGTCTTAGTAATCTAGTCTTGCTATAACAGAAATACAATAAGTGACTTTAACAAATAGAAATTTATTTGCTCACAGTTTGAAAGTACAGAGGACTGGCTCAGTGGGGAAGGCTTTCTCTCTCGGTTGGCTCTGGAGACTACTGCTGGGTGATCTTCATGTGGCTTGGTAACGCTCTTCCCCATCTCTGCTCTGATTGCATGTTTCATCTCAAAAGAAATGGACTCAAGATACATCCTACATTAACACATTAGAAAACACATTTCCAAAGGCAATAATAATGACAGGCATAGAGGTCAGGATTTACAACAAATATTTTGGGGGACATGTTTAAACCATCACATTATACAAAGGCATTCGACTGCAGATCATAACAAATTATGGATAACACTGTGACGAATGGGAACTCCAGAACACCTCACTGTGTTCATGCGGAACCTGTGCGCACACCAAGAAGAGGCAGTCCTTCAAACAGAAGAGGGAGGGTACTGTGTAGTTTAAAACCAGGGCAGTGATACATCAGCGGTTAATCATTTCACCATACTTACTCAATCTGTATGCTGAGCAAATAACTCAAGAAACCGGACGATATGAAGAAAACAGCATTAGCACTGAGGGAAGGCTCCTAAGTCACCTTTGAGATTTGGATGATAGAACCTTGCCTGCTGAAAGTGAACAGGACTTGAAACCCTTACTGATGAAGTTTAAAGACCAAAACCTTCAGTGTGGATTGCACATCAACAGAGAAAAAAGTCCTCGGAATCCGCAATACCAGCAGTAAGTGGAGAAAGGCTGGAGGGACGCTGTCAAGGATTCATTTTACTTGGATTCACAGTCACAGCCCGCGGAGGCAGCAGCCAAATGACGTACCTCACAAGGCACATCTGCTGCAAACGACCTTACAGTTTTAAAAAGCAAGGATGTTGCCTTGGAAACGTAGGTGGGCCTGCCCCACGCCATGGTTATTTTTAATGGCCTCAAATGCATGCAAACACTGGAAAGTGAACCAGGATGACTGGAGAAGTATCAATGTCGTTCAATTACGGGGTTGGTAGAGAGCTGAATATATCATGGGCTACCAGAAGTTTGACCATAAAGACCTTTGAACTACAGCCAGAATGTGACTTAGAAATGAGCATGAAGAATCTTTTGTCTCCCGTACTTTTGACACATCATCAGGTAGAACTCGTTCCTGGGGGATGGGGGGTGAATCATGCGTGGTAGAGGCTCAGCGAGAAAGTTTTCCTCAGTGAGGAAACTCCGGGGCTTCACAAAGGGCACAAACCTATCATCAACTGGGAGGATGCCACAGGACTGGGCTGTACTTCACTGTTGTAGCTGAACCTAAGGAACTCAACAACATGAAGTTATTCCTACACACATCTTGCCCTTTTCATTTTCCATAGGTCTTTCCCTGTGAAAAAGAACCAAAAAAAACGAGGAAAGCATTGAATGGTTCCTAGTATTTTGTTACTTTTTACTTACTTTGAACAAGTGAGAATTTTTTCTCTTCAAACACCAGTATTTAACTCTTACACAGCTCACTGTTTAACAGATAGCAATCTATGTTCTGACCTATAGAAGCATGCTTCTCTGTTGCTTTTTAACTCTCGGTAATCAATCAGGGCTCTAAACTTCCCATCAGATTTGGTGGGAAGGATCTTAGTCTAGTAGGTCTTTTGAATAACATGTCTGTTTCTGACTAACCACTACAATTTAGCCTTGCGCTAAGCACTTCCCTGCAGGTTCCTCAGAAGACAAGGATCTCTGGATCAGTCATGACTATGATTTTGTTTCACAAAAGAAATTGTGAAAAACTGGTGACGGTAGTTAAGTCAAAGCTCACCATGTGCGTGGTACCTGAAAAACATCACTCATAGACTCCGAGACCCTGGCTGATTTATCTTGAGTACTGGAGCCCAAGGGTGTACTAGGAAATGTGTGACACAGGCTCAGAAACAAATGATATGGCAATACCACCAGCTTCCATCCAGAGCAGCTCTATTTTAGGACACAAAGGAGCCCTCGTGTCTGGGAAACCGAGCTGGACAACTTTCAACAGTCTTATTATCTAGGCTGGCTTTCGTCCCCCAGCCCCACGGACGTTCTAGCGCAGCCTACAGGTTTGTCAAGGAAGGTACATATTGGCCCTTTGCCTGAGGTCACACCAGACCAAGTCCAACTTACAGAATACCTCATGGTCTAAGGGCTCGTTTTGTTAAACGGGCTTTTCCTGTGGCCTCTATTTTGACACAAAGCATTGATTAAAATGTTCTTGCTCCATTTGTTTCTCCCAAAAGGAACTTCAGACAAAGTGGCCTTCTAGTTTTACTTTACATAGATGCCACTGTATCTTTCTCACCTGTTGTTCTGATTGTTGGGAGGCGTCTCCCTGGCATAACTCCCTCGCTACCTCCCACGTATCTTTTAGTGCATCTCCCCCAAGCCTTTCCTTGGACAGGTTTTCCTTTTGGGGTTGGCAGCAGCAATCACATCATAGTGTGCCTCACTGTCCTTCCCTGCTATCGATGTTTCCCGAAGTGGGTGATAGCACCCGCTAGGGGGTGCTGTAGCAATCCAGGGAGGCTGCAAAAGCCTTCTGTAGAGAGAAAGATTTTAAATGCCAGAGGAGAGGTAACCAAAAAAAAATTTTTTTCCCCCCCTGAAAAGTGGACTGTAGGCCAAGTAAGTTTGGGAACTGATGCCTTAGACTGTGGAATGGCCCCTTCTCTGTCGTCTTCCCACACACACCAAATTCTTTTTTCCTTCTCTCTCACAATTTCTGCTTGCCCTAGGCACAACAAAAAGCTACTTCCCTCATCTTTCTTGCTGCCCTGCCACTGTCCTTATTTGTGATAGGAAATGTTTTATGAATTCCTAAGAGTGACAAAAAGTCCCTCAGAGTGTATGCATCATTGCAGCCCTGGAACAAGCGGACGCAATGATGAGTCTGGCTCACCAGCCCTTTGCATGATGCCCTCGTGGGAAGTGAGGTCGCAATGCTACCTTGCGATTTCCTGAGTACTCTTTATGGTAAAAAGGAAAAGCTGAAAGTAATGGCTCTCCCCTCTGCCATTCTCATTAGTCACAGAAAAGGTTTTCAAGGGTCAGTATTCATCAGTTTTCGGAAATGCTACACACATCAAGTTAAGACTGACTGAAGACCTAGCAGATCGCAGACTGACTGGAATATTGTTCCAGAGTAAATGCCTTTGACTCACAAAGACAAGGATCGACCAGAATAGTTACCAGTCAATGTAATCACAAGTTACTCTACAGTGTGGACTCTCTGATGACGCATGAGAACTGACTGGTGCCTGAAAGCTTTCCCACATTCATTACATATATAATCTTCATCCCCAGAGTGCATTCTCTGATACTGAGTTAGGGCTGAGCTCCTTTTGAAGGCTTTGCCACATTCATTACATGGATATGGCTCCGTTCCACTGTGAATTCTCTGATGTCTAATGAGATTTGAGCTCAAACTGAAGGCTTTTCCACACACATTACATTTATAGGGCTTTTCACCAGTGTGAATTCTTTGATGTATAATTAGATACGAACTTTGGCTGAATGCTTTGCCACATTCGTTACATATACAAGCTTTTTCCCCAGTATGAATTTTCCGATGTCTAATAAGGGCTGAGCGCTGATTGAAGGCTTTCCCACATTCAGTGCACTCATATGCTTTCTCCCCACTATGAATCCGCTGATGAATAATAAGGTATGACCTCAAACTAAAGGCCTTTCCACACTGGTTACACTGGTAGGGCTTCTCTCCAGTATGGATTCTCTGATGTTGTGTTAGAGAGGAATGTTGCTTGAAGCTGTGCCCACACACGTCACATCTGTAAGGTCTCTCTTCTGTAAGAACTTTCTGACATGGCATGGAGTTTGTACTCAGAATCAAGCTTTGATGATTATCATGATGGTCCCTCTTTCCTAGAGATTCATGTGTGAAGATCACTTGACTAAAACGGTCTCCTTGGGGAGGGGCTCTTAATTTCTTATCTGTATCATTTCCTTGATGCCATTCTATATGGTTTTCAAGTTCACTAACTTCTCTGAATGAAGATTCCAGAGGAAGTCCTTGTGATTTTTCTCCTAAAATCTGCTCCTTGCTCGCCGATTTGCTGTTCTCACCATCTGAAATAATAGCAAAAGCCAGATTTTATATTTTCAGTCACTCTGAATACTCAGGCATTATTTGTTCACGTGCATCTTTATTTTCAACTAGCTGTACTAGGGTTCTGCCTGCTTTCTAATGTTCTGCCCTGTTTAACCTTTGATTTTCACTCTTCTCTGCTTTTGAGAGGTCAACTGATCAATTTCCATCTGTTATTTTTTTTTCATATTTGGTTGCTAATAGTCAGAATCAAGGCCCTGGAAGTAAGTGGTCTTTTATATTTATATATATATATATATATATATATATACATACATACATATATATACATATATATATACATACACACATATATAGTCTTTTATGTATGTATGTATGTATGTATATATATATATTAGTTCTCTCATATTTCTGTAACTCTTGTCCATCAGTATTTAAACCTTCCTCACATAACTCCTTCAACCAACCTTACTCACAATCAGGTGAAAGCTTTTCCAAAGGTTGCTTGTATTCATCCCAATTTTGCAATTTGGTTTCTGCGTTCTTCTAACTTACTTCCAGAGATAGAACTCTCAACAAGATCACCAGTTTCAGAGCTGCTTAATCCAATGGGAACTTCCCAAATCTTGTTTAGTTGGCCTCTCTGAAGCATTTGACTGTGGGATACCCCACCTTCCTTTGAAAGACAGTCTCTTTCAACAATAGTTGCTGTGGCTGTTTCTTCTTAGCCTTCAGGCCTGTCACTGAATTATTAGTGTTCCTCAGGATTCTCTTCTGGACTCCTGTGAATCTACGCCACAATTCCTTCTTAAGCTTCAATTATTATGCGTAGTGTTTCCCTAGGGCCCCACTCCTAACCCACCCGATCCAAATTTGTTTTAGACTCTCAAATCTAACTGCTAATTGGAAAAATGTCCCCAAATATCTCACATTAAACACATCATCATATATATTTATTTCTGCTTGTATTTTCCTCCTTTAATGAATTGTTATTAGTGACCGTTAAATTGATTATGACTCATGGTGAGCCCAGGTGTCACAGAACTGTGCTCCATAGTTTTTTAGAAGGAAGCTGCCTGCCAGGCCTTGTCTTCCAAAGTGTTTCTCGGTAGGTAAGGGTGTTCTAGTTGATAACATTTTCCAATTGACAATATACAACATTTACATGCATGGCACCACAAACTCAGAATGCTTAACACTGAAAACTGTGTATGTCTCAAGCTCTCCTCTCTTATCCTTCCTTTCTAGCAATTTCACTGAAGTAAAATGTAGAACTTTTAATGCTGATTGACCTTCCTGGGGTAACAAAAGGATAGCATTTATTTTTATTTATTCAGGGTGGTCTCCTGAATGGCTAAGGCTCCAGGACTGTACTCTTGCCTTCCTCAAATCTATTCTAAATCAATCCCGTCACTCCTTTGCCCAAAACCCTTTAATTGTACCCCACTCAAACTCTCCAAATTCACTGTCATCAAGTCATGTTGGACTCATAGCGAATCTATGATGTAGACAGAGTAGAACTGCCTCTTTGGGTTTCTGAGACTTTAAGTCTTTAGTGGAGCCGACAGCCTCATCTTTCTCCTAGGGAGCCGCTGGTAAGTTGGAATTGCCAACCTTCCAGTTTGCAGTTCTAGCATCACCCACTGTGCCGCCAGGGGTCCTTATTTAACACTGAAGAAAGTGTATATGGTCTTACTACCTGGATCCTAGTTTCCCTCTTAACACCATGCAAGTCAACCTGGATTAGCTGCCTGTATTCCCACATAAGATGTTTGCATCTTCTGGGGATAATCTGCCTCCATTTTACTGGCTGTATTCTACTGGTACTACAGGTCTAAAGTATCTTTTCCTCCAAGTGTTCTTTGAACTTCTAAGATTGGGGTAGGTGGGTGCTACCTTATGTGCTCCCATTGCACTTGTCATTAGCTGCCATCAAATCAGTCCATACCTCATGGTAACCACTGTTATACGTAAGGTTTTCAGTGACTGACAGTAGGAAGTACATCAGTAGACTCTCTCCTTGGTCTTTCTTAGTGGGAAAGCGCTGCTGAAACCTCTTCGGCATCAGAGCAACGCATAATCCTCCACTGACAGGTGGGTGGTGACTTCCAGTGTCCTCACCGAGAAACGATCTTGAGGAGAATTCTACCCGTCAACCACCACCTTGACTCTCGAGCTTCCAGAGAGTAAGGTTAAACACTATGTTGCAATGCAGTTTTGGTCATCCAGCACTCTACCTAGTCCTGAAAGATCGTCGAAGGTAGGAATCTAATACCCAACATTTATTGGTACTTATTAAATTATAAAATGAAGACATGAATGAATAAGTGAATAAATGACCAGCAGAGTGATGGAGTGCTGACTGCAAATGATGAAGAAATAAAGCTGGTAAAGTGAGAATTTCTGGTCCAGAATAATAAAGGCGATCCTCAGCTAAAAAGAAATACAAACAATCCTATACCTTCAAAACCTGAGTCCTACCGTATATACTCGAGTATAAGCTGACCTGAAAATCAGCTGAGGCAACTAATTTTACCACAAAAACTGCATACAAAAGGTGCTGAGAAACTTAATATATACGGTAATTAAATACAGTCCCCAGATGAGTTTCAATTCCTCACCACTTTGGGGGGACCGGCACGGTTCCCAGGATTTCAGCTGTGTCTTTAAAGGCTGCAGTTGGACGTTTATTGACTCTTGGCATGCTCCATGAGAGGTGAAATCCTTCCACGGCACTGCTGGCCCTTGTGGACTCGCTGGAACCTGAAGTCAAAAATCAAATGTGCTTAGGTTTGTGAGAGCATCCCTGGGAGAAACTAGTAAAAGTTTCAACAAATAACTCAACAAACATCTTTGGGAATGAGGAATGGGGGAAAGAGAACCATATAAACGGGAGATTTAGGCAGGTCCGGTAGTCACTTCAGGCTTATGGTTCAGTGGTTGTGAGTCAATATGTGTCCTCCCAAACACTGCTGAAAATCCAACCTTTTGTTATTTTAATGGCAGGATTACAGGAGGGTGCATTTGGAGTCAATCTCCTTTGAGGTAAAGAGATCAAACATAAGACAGCAAGCAGACTCTGAAGAGACGAGGAGCTTTCTCCAGAGTCCACAAAGAAAGTCTTTCTCCAGAGTTAGCCCCTGAATTCAGGCTTGTACTCTAAACTGGCATAAAATAAATGTGTTTGTTAAAGTCTGGTGGTATTGCATGTGGCCTTCCTGTTATCATATTATTAGCATCAAAACTCATTTCATCCTACTCTTAGGATGGTACCACATTCCTGATACTCTAACACATCACATCTCCTTTGCCCACCTGTTGCCCTGGGTCATCAAACTCTCTCTCCAAATCCTCCAAAAGGGTCACAGCTTCCTCGCCACTTTGTGGACTCTGTTGCTGAACCCAGATCTGTAGCTCCTCGGGCAAGATGCTCAGGAACTGTTCTAATACCAGCAGTTCCAGGATCTGCTCCTTTGTGTGCACCTCTGGCTGCAGCCATTGATGGCAGAGCTCCTGCAGCCGGCCCAGGGCCTCCCGAGGCCCAGGAGTCTCCTTGTAACAAAACTTCCTGAACTGCTGGCGAAACATTTCTTGGAAAGACTGGGTAGTCCCATCCTGTTTAGATTTCTGCTCCCAGGAGAGGCCCTCTTCTACTTTCACTAGTAGCAGTTCTTGTTCCCGGGGATCCTGAGTTCCCAGGCTTGAAAGTGCTCTGGACTCCACAGCCATTCTTGGAAGACAGCTTAGCATAAAGCTCACAACTGGGTTCTGGGCTTGTTTCTTTTAGTATTTCTTCCTTCAATGGCTTTCCTGGGGGGATACAAAAGGATTGTTGATTTATAGCAGTGAAAAAAATCTCTAAGAACGAATAAATAGTTAACATCAATCTCTCCCGTAATTTACTGAATGGGAGATGAGACTGTAACTAAACAAAAATCAGATTACAAAGTAGCCATCAGTCATCTTATTCCGTGTCTCCCATTTTGTCAAATTCCTTCCATTAGTGTTATTAGAAAGATACCATGGTAACGTGAATCAGAAAAGTATGTTTAATTTTCCTTCATCAAGGGGAAAATCTTGCCTGCCCCTATGTCTTCAGCAAGTAAGTTTATAGAATTCTATAAACGAACAAAGGCTTCATATTTATGAGGGAAATAGTACCTGGCTAGAGATTTTTATATATTTATTTTTTTGTTAGTTTCTATCTATGGAAAAGGATGCTGATATTTACTTAGGGTAGTAATAAAGCATTTAAAAATTCTATTAACATGAGTAGATGTAAACAAAAATACTGTCATTATTTGCTATCCGACCAAAATTGGGATTTGTTGAATTCCTTCAATATACACTGAGGCTCAGTCCTTTTTGCCAGGCACTAGAATACAAATGTCCTTGCCCAGAGGGTAAATCAGTCTATGGAGGAACTAACCAATAGGTATTGCTTTGATGTTCAATACGTATTAAATATAAAAAAAAGAACCAAAAGATGTAAAAAGAACAGCGGAAGGCCTCATACAACATGCAAGATCCCGGGAATGAAAACTTTTAAAGTGGACCATGGCAACAAAACAAATTCTGTAGGTATGTTGTGGTACCCACCATGCAGAATCTGGTTTTAGGATAGAACATACATGGATGAATAGGAAGGTTTGTCCTTGAATCACTCATGCTTCAACGTTGACCCTAGCATTATGGTTAACTTTAGAGTCAGGTAGCACACATTTGTGACAATGTACCCGCGCCACTACACTGCCCTTTCTGTTTTTACAACCCTGATTCAACCACCGCGTTTGCGAAAGCAGAGCGCGGGGAGTAGCAGCTTTCTGCTGGAAAGCTGGCAGGGGGTGCGCGCCGGCGTCCTGTCCTCCGGGTCCGCCCGACGCTCGGAGCCGCCGGCCCGACCCCGCCAGAGGCGGGTAACCTCCACCCTGCGCCCACCGACGGCAGTGCGCCCACCCCCCTCCCTCGCGGCGAGTCCCGCGTCCCTCACCGCGAAGCCCTGCAGCGGCCAGAGTAAAGCGACCCACCCAGCGCGGGGAGCCACAAAGACCGGAAGTGCGCGCCGTGGGCTTCCGCTCCCGCGCGCCGCAGCCCCACCCCCTCCCGCAGGCAGCCAATCATCTCTGTGAATCTTCCCAGTGGCACAATTTACAACTGTGGACTCCCAACTGAGGGCCGGCCTCCCTCTTTAGTGTAAGGGATTTGGTCGCGCGAGGACACAGCGCCAGGTCTAGTCCTATTCCCATCCACCATCCTTGGGCTCCTGTCACTCCGAGGCTCATCCTACACTCAACTTTCCAGCAAAAGTATTGATTTCCCGGTAATTTCAGTTCTCATCCGGGATCTTCACAAGGTAAACGAGTGAGCACAAAGCAAATCACTTCTATTGTGATTTCCCATACTTGTCATTTGAACCTTACAGCAGTTCTATTCAGTAGGTATGTTATCATTCTGCAGACGGAGATGTCAAAAACCTCAGGTGCACAGAGAAACACCAATATATGTATTGACTAGATAGGATTTGAATAGAGATACTCTGAGGAGGGACAGTGAGAACTGTTATATGGATTATGTCAATTCCTCATGCTACAGACAAAAGTCCCCATTTATTCCAAAACAGCCTCTAGTCAGACCCTAAATTTCCTGCTTCTTGAAACTGGCTGCATATAATCTTCTATGCCTAAAGTCAGTTGTCTCCACTAAACTGCTTATTATGCTACTGTTTGACCTGGTAGTGACTCCAGGGACCCAGTTTCTTCAAGGTCCAAGAGGATGCCTGAGGTCACCCAAATTCTAGGATATCAGAAATCTGTATTCCAGGAAAATCAAAATGATTTTGTTGAAACCAAATTTTTTGTGGTCACATTTGCTGATGACCTTGGTGGGTTACAGAGTAGAAGCAATTTCCCTCTTTGGTCAGGTCAGTGGTTCTCAACCTTCCCAATGCCGAGACCCTTTAATACAGTTCTCTTAAGTCTAGATCCAGTACCGGCATTGTATTGCTTCTACTGCATTCTATTGGCAGGATGATTCGTTTCAAAGGAAGAGGGGAACAGACTCCACTCTTTATGGGAGGGGCAGCTTGAATTTACAGAGCGAGAAAATTTGGATTTGCAAAATTAGCTTTGCAACCAACTTAAAAGACCTTGCTACATTAAGAAGTCTGCTATTTACGAGTGGAACTATTGAGAGGTTATATCTGCTTTCAGCTGAAAGCAGTATTAGAAAATCTCAGCAAATGGCCTTATTGTTTAAGACTTTTGATTATCTTGCATATCTAGCTGTGGGGAGGTCTTGCCAATGCTATTTTCACCACCACTGTTACTTGCTGTGCAGTTGACAGAGGCTCGTGGAGGCTCCATGTGTGTCAGAGTGGAACTGTGCTCCAAAGGGTTTTCAACGGCTGATGTTTTTCTAAGGAGATCATCAGGCCTTTCTTCTGAAGCACCTTTGGGAAGGCTTGCACCTCCAACATTCCAGTTAGCTGCTGAGTGTGTGCTCTCTTACACCACCTAATGCTGTCATAGCTACACCATCTCCACAAGGTCGGGCTTTTTAAAAATTTGGCTCTCCAACATGACCTCCCTAAAGTCAAAACCAAACCCACTGTCTTCAAGAAAATTTCAATTCATGTTCACCTCATAGGGCAGAGTAGAAAACCCCTGTGGGTTTTCAAGCCTTTAAGTCTTTACAGGAGTGGGGAGCTCCATCCTTCTCCCTCAGTGTGGCTGGTGGGTTTGAACTGCTAACCTTGGGTAGCAGCTCACACGTAACCCACCACACTGCCAGACTCCTTCATCAAGACCTAGCATTGTGTAAAGATTTGGTGGATCTATGAGTACATACATATGAGAGAAAACGGATGCTATTATTAATGGTAGTACTTAAAGTATGCAGGAAAAATTTAAATAAATCCTTATACTGTTGTATTTGATTTTTATTACCATGTTATCAATTTAGCATTGTATTATCAGACAGATAGTATAGTAACAGAACAAAACAATGTTTATTTGTAGCATCCGAACAGATAAAAAAGACTTAATCTTACTTCAATGTCAAAGAAAACCCTTGAGGTTGCTCCTAAGTGTTTTCTTTGCTTAGTGTTGGTTTTTGAGGAAGAGGCTATGGCATTTATTGTGCGCTCTGCCAATTGAGGAGGAAATGAGTGAAACTGCCTCTCTAGCTGCCGTCACCAGCTCAGTGAGTAGGCTGGCTCTCAAGGCTGGCATCACCATAGTCTGGAACAAAAGTCAAATGGTAATCTGGCATGTTCTTTACCTTATGCAGAAGCAGGGTGAATGTGGGAAGGCAATATTAAGATGAAATACTGCTACTACCACTGCAGAATTCTCTCTGACCTTAGCTAGAACTCCAGGCCCTCCTCATTGGTACCCTGGAATTATTTCCTGGTGACACAGTGGCTGCTGATAAACTGGCAGTTCAAGCCCACTAGCAATTCCACAGACTTAGTGATCTCTTCCCATAAAAATTATTAACCCAAACCAACTGCCATCAAACTGATACCAACTCATAGTGGCCCTACAGGGCAGAATAGAACTACTTAGGATTTCCTAGGTAAATCTTTACAGGAGCATAAAGCCTCATCTTTCTTCCACAGAATGGTTAGTGCAATCCACTGCACACTCAGAGCTCCTTCATATAGATTACAACCTAGACAATTCTATGAGGCAGCTCTATTCGGCCCTGGTGTCATTATATATCATGCATAGAGCAGAGTTAAAGCTGCTCCAAGTGCCTAGAGACACACCTTGTTCCACCAGGAAGCGTCTTCCCCAAAGGTGTCGTTTTCTCTCCATGGGCCAAAAAGGCCACTGCAGCCATCCTGAGTGTCCTTGTTGCTCCTATTTCTACTGCTGTTTCTGACACTAGAGAAGCTCTGCTGTGCCTGCTTCCTTTCTAAAGGTCTCATGCTGTCTTCCATGTCATTGCTCTCTTCTGGGTCTAGGATGTTCTTAGTCCAGGAGCCCCAAGTTCAAAGAATGTGCTTTCTGCTTCAAACTCTTCTTGATGGTTCTAAGGTGCCCCTGAACTTCTGAGGGGCTGGCCATTATATGAGGGGGTACAAAAAAAAAACAAAACAAAAAAAGCTCTGCTGGGCAGTTTTCATAGTAAACATTTTTCCCACTGGGCTAGCATTGAGCAACTCTGAGTTAGTAAACTCAATGGCGTTGTCTGGGAAGGTTCTTTCTGGACACAGTGAAATTTTTCGTAAAAGTAGTTTCCCTTGAACCTTGTTGTCCGGGGCCATTCGGCTCAATCTTCACTATATTTTGTCAGAGCTTGCAGTACTTTTCCATTCCCGCCTACGTGACAGTTTTGTGATTATGTTATCTCCCCTATGAATAGCCTGTCTTTGGGAGGAGCTGAGTTTAACCTTCAAGTCTGCCTAGAAATAGATGAGGGGGATTCCATACATAGTGTGACATTCTTGAGATAAGCACCTCTATCCTGCTTCCCCTTGATTGGGTAGGAGATTGTCTTCACCCTATTTACACATCTACTGCCTGCACCTGATTTTGCATGAAATGATGTCACTTCGTGTACCTGGTTGAAGACTGTAATCTGTTACTGAGGGCGCGCTCCCCAGGACTCCTTGATTGGTCTATTGCCAAAGTGGCCTAATTTACATGTGCGATGGGTGTTTCCCTTCCCCTGGCCCTTATAAGCTGAAACCTTTTACTCAATAGAGACTTGATCAGAATACTGCCTTGTCTCCATTTCTCGTATCTCTTGTTCCCCTCAATTCCCACTCCCTCCTCCAGGGTCTGCGTTGACATTCCTGCGGGTCGGGACACCTTTTTTGTGATGGCCGATTTCAGAGAACAGCACACAGCTGTGAAACTTTTGTTTCCTGCTTTGGAAAAATGCCACAAAAATGGTTGTGATGTTGAACACAGCTTACAAGCATATTGCTATGGGAAAAACTCAAGTGTATGATGATGAAAATAGCAACAAAATTTGTGCACTTGTGCTCAAAGACTGACAATAGACCATTGAAGAGATGGGCAACTTATCTGGACTATCTTGGAGCTCGGTTCAGTGACTTTTATAGAACATTTGGAACTGAGAAGGGTCATTGTGAAATTTGTGCCTCGAGTTCTGAGTGACCAGTTGAAAGAGCAGCAAGTGGATGCAAGCCTGGCTAGCCCA